TCCCATGAGCTGGCACTTATATTTTCAAGGCTGTTCAGTGAGTTGGATTCACAAGTCGATTTAGCTGCATAAGTTGATTTAGCTGCAAAATAATATTTTAAGTGGTTTTTTGCATGTTAAGTTCAGCGGGTCAGCTGATCTTCTCACCACGTATGCACACGATCAGCAGCAGCAGTCCTTCAAGTTCACAGCTCTGAAACTGGCCAGAGCAGATTGGGACGATCTCTTTAGCCAACAGCTAATGGCACCAATGTAATTAAATTAGATGGCTGGAACAGAGTAACATGCATGTTGTGTCAGAAAAAAGCCACATGGAAAGAAAATTCCATCAAATGATTTCTAAGCTTACAAAAAAAGTCCACAGAAGGAGAGAATCCATATTCAAGGGGCAGCAGTCCAATTATCTTTACACTTAAATTTTCTTTCCATAGTTTCTACTTTGTTCACCCAGTACATATACCAAACGCTGCAACAAATAAAGTAGAAGTCCTTCAAAAAAGCATTTAATTCATCACATGAGTACAGGTTTTCTTCCATACACTGAAAAAGCTGAAATCCCTTGGGGAAAAAGCAGTATGTGGTAGTTAATGATATTTTAGCACAGACAGACAAAAGAAGGCAAATTAACTTTAAATAATTGAATTTGAAACCAGAAATGTATTTCCATATAGGTTTCTGTATCTGCCTACTGAGAGCTTAAACAGGCAAATCTAAACTCCAAAAATTTCATCGTGTTGAACTAAATTGGAGTCAAGTGGCAGGGGAAGAGTAAGAACACTTCAGGCATGTTGCCATGTCAGTTATAGAAATTGATTTTTAAATAACTCATAATTTTAAAAAATCTTTTACATCTTGTTAGAGAAAATATATAAACATGCAGCTTAGAACCATAAAAGTGGCCCAAGTCCATTAAACGTGACAGACTTTCTATTGACCCTAGATCAGGCTCCGTGTGTATAGAGCAATGGTCTCAATATACTGTAGCAATGAACTTTCTTTTCTTTCTTTTTTTAAGCACTTCAACAAGCAAATATGTATTTTAAAGAAACATATCTGGCATAATAGTAGTATATAAAACTAGATTAATTTGCTTCAATGACTTCTGTAATTATGAAGAATAAATATGAAGACACAGAAGGAAAACAATTACCTCCTTTTTTAATTGGTATTCTGCTATGTATAATCATTCTATTGCTGTCGTGTTCTTCACATTGTAGTATTTTAGGGAAAAATATCTTAAGGTGACTTATCATCTTGTGAATTGGCAAAACAGTTAATGTTTTAACAGTGATGCATAGACCAACTGCTTCTTTTTTGTTTGTTTACTACATACTGAAGATATCATGGTTTGTTTCACAATACAATCACTTTCAGAAAGTACATTAAAACTTATGGATATAAATTAGATCATCAATTGAGGGTTCTCCTTGTTTATGAGGTAACAACTGTATCCTGTGGAGGTGTTTATTAGACCCGTTACACATACAGTCACTACCAATTTAAGTGGAAGCATGCTCAAGTTTTTCTTTCAATACCAAAATGTCAAATAGGAAGAACTTAATTTCACAACAAAAAACCTCACACAAAATAGATGAAAATAGATGAAAAATATTTATAGAAGCATGTGCACCAAGCTGAATGAAGTGGGAATATTAAAAGCATTAGAGAATTGTAACTAGCACTCCAATCAGTTGCAGATGAGATTCTAGTTTTAGCGTAGTTCCCAACACTAGCATCTACGATCAATAGATTGGAAAATATATATGTGTTCTAGCAGTCTTTGCATCAGTTTTGTTACAGAAAGGAACATGGACCAGAGATTTTTGTCTATGAAGAAATGGGGTGATAAAGTAAAAAGATATCGGTATGTAATGTCATAAAAATCAGATAAAAATTCGCACTTTGTGCGTGAATTGATTCCTCATAATATCATACTATAATTACCTATTCTCAAAACACAGTGTTTTTAAGCTCTGTGGAGAATTAATGGTATTTTAACTCTAAACTTGGCTGTAAATCACACTATGCAATCATCTTCTTAAAGTAACAGAAGACACATACTAATATCATACACTACCAACTAAAACAAAACAAAAAACCAATGGATCTAGAGTCCATTACCTACTGTCCTACACCAACTGTGCCCAAGACTACCTACAAGGAAGGATGGTCATTACTGAACTCCTCTGCCAGGTGTCTCGCTCTGTCTCCCTGTCTTTATTTTCCTCCAATAGGTTACACGTCTTCTTGGTTTTTTCCCCCTCATTTGTCATTCCCAATTGTTTGTTCTTCCCATAGTGTTTTCTCTTTAGTCTACTGTCCTTCTTGGAAGGAAACTTTGTTTATATAATAGAGGGACTGGAAACCAACCTCAAGGCAAAAATCAAAAGCAGCTGCCTCAAGCACATACCATGGAAAGCATCTAAAACCAAAGCAAGCATACAGTAACTACTTCCTGAGAATGTTCCCCCAGAATGCAGCCATTTGCAGCTCTCAGTCTCCCTGAGCCAAATGTAAATTTAAGTTTTTCATGCCTTTTATTTTTCTTACATATTTCATCCAGTTGCTTATTGAATTTATGCAAACTTCCACCATCTACAACATCTTACCATATAGATGTCCACAGCTTAATTACACACGGTCTGATGTTTGTTTGATATAGTAAAACTGGAAAGGCAGTTTGATTGCTGGAAAGAAGTATTTAATGGACTCTTTCAGCTAGGAATATCTCATTTTTCTCACACTGGATTTTTGGAATGTTTCGTTGGAATAGTTCTGTATTAATTAATTTAGGTAAAGAGTGGCTTATACTTTGCATATAGAACTTCTCATCTATATTTTGCATTGCACCATGCAAAATGCTACTCTGCAGCAGTTCACATCTGAGGGGTGTTACCTCCTTACGACGGCATGATATTAGCTCCTCTCTGTTTCCGTGAACCTTCATGTTAGAAGGTTATTTGCTTTTTTAAAAAATATTTTTGAAATCTACAAAACCTTGATGCAGTAGGAGACACTACAAAATATATCCAATATATACATAATACATATATTAGATGTTTGTAATTTGGTCCATAGACTGATACCTTCATACTGCAGTTCTAACCTATTTCACTTCTGTGCGTTGTAGACTGATGTGTCATTTATAAAAAAAAAATAAAAATCAAGAACTTGTACTAGTGAATAAGTGAAATGAACAGACACAGTAGTTATGGATAGTAACGTTAAAGTTTTTAAAAACATCTTTACTGGAAATTATCCCTCAATGAAGACAGAAAAATGTTTTGTGTTTTTTTTTTTTAAGAAGCACTATTGTTTCTAAAGGAGCAGTAGTAGTGGTAGTGAAAGACCATTTAATTATTTTCTTTTAAATCTATTTCAAAAGAAAAAGCCACAATTATGATGTTTGGAAAGATAGAGAAAAATTACCTTTTCTATGTTTCAAGAAAATTATATCTTTATGGGCCTTTAAAGTGGATAATAAATTGAAAGAAACACCCTCTTCCCTCCCAAACACACATATCTCCTACTCTACTCTTTGACAGAGCTAAAGAAAACAAAATATCTTTACATTAAATAACCTTCACTAAAAGAATGCTCTTTTTTCAATTTCACATACTATTTTTTGGTCTGAGTGAGGAACGGAATCTCTAATTTGGCTCAGCTTCACTATATTTTCTTATACTGTGAGGTAACTGATGAGTTTCAAATATTTATATTTAGACTATATTATCAGAAACCGCTGTTCCCAGGAAGGCTTCTACTTCCAAATCAAACTCACTAAAATTCAGGGAGGATCAAGTGATAAGAGGGTTCTTTGGGCATTCTCAATCAATAAGAAACCAGTCGTACAAATATTCCTAAATGTCTGACCCTGCTGATATATCTGTGATACTCGCTCTTCTTTGAAGTTCCAGGTCTTATACTCTTGCAAGAAACTTTGCGAAGTTTCTGGCTAAGATGCAGAAAAATACTCAAAATGTGATACTAAAGCTTGCAAAAGAGAAAGCAAGTGAACAAAATCTAAAATTTAAAAATAATAATAAAAAAATCAGCTCTTAATCCATATTTTTAAGTGCCTGAAACCTCAAGGTTAGGACTCCAGTAGCCTGTATATAGTTCATGAATGCAATTAAACAGAAATCAAAGGGAGTATTTATATCTCTCAGTCACATGCATGGTCAGTTCTCTTTTGTAACCTCTGGTCTTTACAGAAGTACATACCTATCATCTTTGAAGTTGTAATAGTTATTAAAAATGCCCAGCACAGAAACTTGCAACATATTTACTGGCAGTTAAATGATATTCAATATTGCACGCTTAAGTCTGAGCCCTAACAAACCCTGAAGTAAATCCACACACAAACTTGGACAGTTTTCTCCTAAAATTTAGCGGGAGCCTTCACTGTGTTTATGTGGACGGCTGCAGGCCCTATCCGCATCTGCAGCCTCGCTACTACAGCACTTTTTTTTTTTAATAGCAAGAAACAGTCCTTCCAGCGTGACTTTTGGAAAGGGCCTCGAAAATTGTACTTCCAAGCCGTAATACAGCTTGTACCCCGCAGGGGCGCTCCCCAACACGAGAGGCCCCGCGAAGGGGGCACCGCCTCAGCGGACCTCGGCCCCCTCTGCCCGCCGCCGGGGCCGCACCAGCGCCACCCCGCCAGCTCCTTCCGCCCCCGTCGGCACCACAGCGGCTTGTAGGGAGCGGCTTGCGGGGCACCAAAGCGGGCACGTCCTCAGGCATAAGGCGGTCGGCGACCCGCTCCGGGGCCGCCCCGGACCCCGCCGCCCCAGTGCACCGCCCCACCCAGCGCCGCTCCCGCCGGGGCACGGCGCCCCGCCCGACCGTGAGCCACACACCGCCCGCCCGCCGGGGCGGCTGCGCAGAGCCGAGCGGCGTGGGATGGCCGCTCCCACCGCCCCCTTCGCACCGCCTCGGAGGGGACGCGGGGCGGAGCTGCAGAAAGCGGCCGCCCGTGGCTACTTCGGCACCGGTCTCGTCGCAAAGGGCGCCCGGGGGTTGTCGCGATTCCCCGCCCCACCATCACTGGCCTTCTGCCTCTCGCCACCCGGCGCGGCCGCGGGGCTGGGGCGGCGCAGACCGCGCCCCGCGTCTCTCCCGCCGCCTCCGCGCAGCCCCGGCGGTGCGAGGCATGAAGCTGAGCAAAGCCCAGTACGATGAGATAGCCCAGTTCCTGGGGCACGTGCAGCCCACCCGACAGAGCCTGAGGAAGCTGAAGGAGAAGTTCCCTAGGTAAGTGCTTCCCGCCCTTCGGCGCGGGACCCCGGCGGCGGCCTGCAGGCTGGCTGCTGGCGGGCAAGGGGCCACGGGGGCCGCTCCGCCAGCCCCACCCGGTGCCCCAGTTCTGGCCCCACACGGTACAAAATCACCAGGACACGCACACGGTCGTCGACGGCAAGCGACAGCTCGCTGAAGCTGCCGCTGGGAGCAGGGTACTGCTCACCCACCGTGACCTGAGGAGTTGGCACAAAATAAAGCAACCTTCCCCCCCCGGCCCTGCCACACGTCCAAGTGAAAGCTTTCGCATCCCTTCATGAGGCCCTTAAGCACCAAGTAGGTCTTCTGATGTGAATGAAACCTTAAGGCTCGGGCCGTAACTCGGTGGCTGAGGCCAAGGGTGGAACGCATCTTGCAATACCACTGCCCCTTTTACTTAGGCAGAAGGGGCTTTCTGGACCCATAATTCACTACCTGTTGCTACTTTGCAGTTGAAGGCTGGAAAAGAGGTCATCTTGTGACCTACGGCCATCCATTTATCTGCTTCCATGCCTGAATGTTCAGAATTGTCAAAGGCATTTGCAAATGACCATAGGCTAGCGTGGAAAGGTGCACGTGACAGGATGTGCTCTATGAACCGATTTCATTGCCAAAATTTGCTTACTATCAACAAGAGAGTTGTAAGGGACGTTGCAAGGCTTTTCACTTTTGTTTTCAGGTTTGGGGGAAGGATTACTAGTGCTGAAGTTGAAAGGAAAGCAAAATGGGTTTCGGGGGGAAAAGAGTGGTGCTGTCTCTAAAATCACCAGAAATAATACAGAAAAATGTAGGGATTTAGGTGCTATGCTTATTTTCACGAGAGAGAAATAAGTAAAACAGAAAATCATTCACAGGCTTCCTGAATGAGCCTTGCTAGTCTTATCGCAAGTGTGGCAGAAGAAACTGACACTGCAACTAGAGTAAGTGGATGAGGAGCTGACACTAACCTAGGCTTTTAAGTTGTCCAGTGAAATCTTTTCATTTTCAGGAAAGTGTGTAATGTAGTTAAAAATCAAGGTGAGGGAATAGCCCTGTTGTAGAGAACAAGTGATTGTAAAGAAATGTGGTTGGTTTAGGGAGTGCATTGAGTTGCGTTGTTGGGAACCCAGCTCACCTTGCACAGTACTTCTGCAACTTGGAAACCCCTTACTGTGACATATGTCTAAAGAGCTTAGATTTGGTTTTACACTTCGGTACTAATGAAATTAGGAGTAAGTGTTTACGTATATTTGTGTGTGCATGCATGCATTACACATATGCATGTTCTCTTTTTCTAGTCTCCATAAAGCTGTCTTGAAAGAAGGTTAGAATTTGGGTTCTTTTTCTGGGTCAGAACCTGCTGCCAAGACAGATCCATAAGCACATGAGGGTCTGTAATAGAGCAAACGAGTTTGTCAGAAAAAGACCAGGCCTTTCTGATGTGTTTTACTTCCCAGTCCATGCATTTGATATTGCAAAAGGTCTGTTGAGTCCTCTGTTTCAGAACTTGATGACTCCTGAAAAACTATGCAACTAACATTGTAAGATCATATAATCACAGAATATTCTGAGTTGGAAGGGACCCACAAGGATCATCAAGTCCAGCTCTTAAGTGAATGGCCCGTATGGGGATTGAACTCGCAACCTTGGTGTTATTAGCACCAGGCTCTAACAGGGTCAGGGTTAGTTAGGAACAAAATAACATTTTTTTTGTAAAGCAGCTGGTGTGGTGAACACTGAAAAGCAGAGATTAGCTATAGTAGTTGCTTCCATAATTAGCTGGCTTAGCACACTGTTATCTTGTTATTCACATTATGTTATGAAAATGCCCTCTTTTGAATTCTGCTTGTAGGCCTCTCCTGAATTTTGTTTGCCCATCCTGGCAGAAGGCTAAAGTCTTCTATTTGAGTGATGAATTAATTGATAGCTTTTTCAAAAATGCCTGTCTTAAGTGTATTTTGAGGTCTACATGTGTCCTTTCTGTGAATGGTTCAGGAAGTGGTATTTCTTTGTTGTCTCTTTGTTTATTTCTCGTAGCAGGGCAGATGCAGAACATACATAATACATTCCAAGGTCACTGCCTGCTTTAGCAGCAAGGGAGGTGTATTAAAATAGATACATGTTATAATGTGTAGAACAGGCATTCTCTGTAACTGTTTTGTAAAAGAGGCCAGCTGCAGAGATTTGTAAACTTGTGTGCCATCTTAAAGGGGAGGCTTTTTCAGTGATGTGTTTCATAACTGTGAAGTAATTTTCTTATAATCTAGAACCTTTGTCATTCTCTTCTGGAATGACAAGGGTCTGATTGGACTTTCTGGCTGCTTTTTTTTCTTTCTGAAAACTAGAATGAAACAAACAAACCCCCTACCCACCTCAACTTTCTAATTCAGTCTTTTTAAGAAAATATTCCAGAATCTGTCATGGTACTTGCAGTGTGATGAAGGTGTCCATAGCCAGTCTGTCATTATTATATGATAACAGTTGCCGATTCAAACTGGAAAGTACTAACATCCGTTATAGCTGCTTTCACCTTGCACTTTCAATCTTTTCCTGGGAAGGATCAGTATTCCACTGGTAATGCAATACATAAATTGACAGTTTTCAAATATTTCTGGTTTCTGCTGCCTCATAGATCTTGAGAGTCTTTGGATTTCTGCATTTATCTGTTCAGGTGTTTTTCTAATACTGTCTTATCTCTTGGTTCCTCCCTTGGTTGTTGTGTTTCCTGAAGTCTCAAAGTTTATGCTCCTTATTTGTATAAAGGATCTCTCACATTTTGTGAAAGAACCTGCTCTTGTTCTGCAATTTCCCCATAAGAATAAGTTGTAATTCCCATAAAATAATTGCCACAATTTACTATACAGGTATGCTGTGTGGTGGCTGCCAACCTGACCTGTGAATCTAAATAATTTTTTAACGGGGTAGTTTGTGCTTTACTGTTATTTCACTACTTCAGGAGGTGAGATTACTACTTCAAAAGTGCGTTGCCATGTGACTTATTAATGTCAAAAAGTCAAAATTAGACTGCTTCTCATACTGTTTATACAAGCATCGGGACTTTTTTTTTACAAGCCTGTAACATTACATTCAACGTGGATTTAGTCTACTTGGCTTAAAATCCAGTTATTTTGCAAAAACTTGGGAGTCAAGTTGCTGTTCTTTTTCTTTTAGTGCAGTGCTTTGTATTCCATGCCTGGCAATTAGCAATGTATTATTAATTTCTTTATTCTTAAGGTATTTGTTACATGCTTAGCAGTTGTCTTTTAACAGGTTCATGTTTAACAGCAGGATATTTGGATGACCTGAGGATTATCAAAATGTGATTTTGAGTACTAAGCACAATAAATCTCTGCCAATATTGAATCACTGATCTGTAGTTCCTTTGATCTTTTTAACACATACGCCACTGGACTGATAATTCTTTATGTTCAGTGCTTTTCTGAAGTGTACCACTTTTTCTTCTTTGTTTCTCACCTACTTGCTAATAATTGTAGTTTTCTTTGTTACTTTTGTATTTTATTCTTCTGCTTTCTTTTCAGCTATGCACTCGTGTTCTTCTGAGATACTGTTCTTCTCATTGAGATCTAATGTCTAAGTTGAATTACCCATTGTAGGGCTGGTTATAGGAAATGTAGGGTATTGCAGGAAATGTTCTGAGAAAGTTACAATCTCTTTATTTTCAGTGTGTGTTTATATCTTAAAATGGTAGTTAGAGCTGCCAGCAAGTAGAATCTTGTAGATAAGAATCACTTCAGCCCTAACTATTTATAGTGACAAGATGTAAGTTAGACCTTTAAACTTTTACCTGTATTCGAAGACTATTTTAACTTGTCCTGAAAAGTCCAGCTTCTAAGGGTTCATACCCAAACTGATATTCTAGTACTTCGGTTTAGTTGTTTACTGTTTAGTTCCTGTTTTAGTTGTTTCAATTCTTCTGTATATGGAAGAATATATTGTTTATCTCAGAAGCTTTTTCTAAAGCTTCTTACCAGTAGAACATGATTGACAAATGACTGGACCCTTCTCATAAATATACACCTTTTACATATTTTGCTGCTCTTCTTTGTATCAATTCTGATTGAATATTACAGTTTCCTTGATTGAATCTTCCTGTGGTGTCTACCAAGTTTTCTATGGGTGACAGCTTTGCTGACCCTATTCATTATGATACTATCTTGGGGGATTTTTTTATGTGAGTTTTTTTCTGGTTTGGCTCTGTTCTGAGCGTTTGAGTTTCTAACACTAGGTTGTGCTTGAATTGGAGATTCCATAAACTTTCTTATGGTTCAAGTTGTCTCAGTAGCCCTGAGCATCTTTTAGTGATTCCCAAATCTATATGCTTTTCAAGTTCTTGCATTGAACTATTGTGAAATGTATTTCAGTGCATTTAGAAGTGCTATATTCTTCCATAGCACAATTTTTGTAGTCCTGTATTGTTTATCTTCTTTTTTTCAAGTTGTTAAACTAAGTTAGTGCCTCCAGCGTAACTTTCCTTTAGGTACCTTCACTTGTGTTCCTGTAAGAGAGACAGTTTCTGAGCCTGTTTGAGTGCGAACTGTTACAGAGATTTTCAAAGTACTAGGATTTCAAAGTATTAGAACTTTTATCAGCTGCTGTGTGCAGTTCTTCACTTTTCTTCTGTGAATCTATTCAAAGAAGTACTGTCCTGTTTGTGTCCCTTCTGTGAAAACTTACTTCCATATGATCAGGAAGAGCTTTTTTTACAGCAGAAGGGTAAGGGAACTTGGCATAAATGTAAGAGAAGTACTTGTACATTTTTTTCCTTCTGCTTCATTTTTCCAGTAAGCAAGAGGAAAACATTATGCACAGCTTCATACTGATATACTTGATATTTGAATATGGATGTTTGGTTTTAATGTGTGCAACTTCCTGTTTGATTATTGTAATGCACACAGTCATTCCCAGAGCATATCAAGAGGTGCACGTTCCTCTACATTTGTGGCCTCTCTTCTTCATTACATAGTATCACTTCAGTT